GTGTATCTAACAGCAATCTTATTCCAGAATTCTCATTATCACCAACTAGATAAACAAGTCTCTTCCCACCCTCTTTGAAACCAGCTTTGCTTTCTTCTGATTCCTTCTTGTATTTTCCTAGGACAACCATAACAAAATATCGCAGACTGGGTGGCTTAAACAACAGACACCTGGAAGTCCACCATCAACGTGTCAGTAGGGTTGGTCTCCACTGAGGCCTGTCTCCTGGGCTAGAGTTGGCCGCCCTCTTGCTGCCTCTTCAGGTTGTCTTTTCTCTGTGCACACGCACCCCTCATGTTTCTTCCTCTTTTTATAAAGGCACCAGTTATGTCAGATTATGACCCCATTTAATATTAATTACCTCTGTAAAACCTCTATCTCCAAATACAGTCACATTCTGGAGTACTACTTGAGGTTAGGATTTCATCATATGAATTTGGGGGGAAGCACAATTCAGCCCATAACATGTCTGTAATTAATTCATCTTTAACACATGCTCAGCATATATTTGTATGAGAAGTGTGTTGTTAACTTTTTGAAAATTGTGCTTTGCAAATACTTCTGTCTGAGTCCACAAAGTCTACCTGTTGTTGTTTTTTTTACTACAGCAGGCTGTTTGCTTGAGGGCTACTGGCATATCAACACCAATTCAACAAGCAAAATTACTCTCTAAAGGGCAATGTCAGATACATGCTTTTTTTCTCTTGTCCTCTCAACCAGTGAGAGTCCTTTGCCTGAAGCTTTCTTAATCTGTCCGAGGGAGGATCAAACACAATCATGGCCCCAAGGAACCCTGTAGGGAACCTTTCTCAGCAAACAGATCCAAGCCTCCATTTTTTCTGGCCACTGAATGTTCAATAATTAGCACAGTATTTAAGTAATGCCTGTTTCATGTTTGTTGTCAAAAACATTTTGTAATTCTTTTTTTTTAAATATATTTTATTGATTTTGTACAGAGAGGAAGGGAGAGATAGAGAGTTAGAAACATCGATGAGAGAGTCATCCATCAGCTGCCTCTTGCACACCCCCTACTGGGGATATGCCCGCAACCAAGGTACATGCCCTTGACCGGAATCGAACCCGGGACCCTTCAATCCCCAAGCAGACGCTCTATCCATTGAGCCAAACCGGTCTCGGCCATTTTGTAATTCTTGATCAATTAATTTCCACTATCTTCTTAAGTTAATCTATATTAAGGTCAAGATCATGTTATCAAATTACATTCCAGAGCTGGGATTTATATTCTGGTCCCGCAATCAGTCTCCTGGGACACACTGCAATTTCTCATCTCTCGTTATAGAAAAATTTGCCCTTAGCAAATGTCGGAGAAGCACATCCCCAGCAATTTCTCGTATCAATCAATCCAAGCAAATATAATGGGCTTGCTTTTCCCCAGAGCCGAAGTCACCTCCTGGCAGGAAGTTAAGTGATGGGCTCTGAGTCAGAGCACTGAGCTGAAGCCCAGGGCCGTGCAAGAATGAGAATTTGGAGACTTAAGTTTTCATCATCTCTGATGAACTGGGATAGTACTCATTTTTGGTATCCTGGCAAGTATTACCGTCTTCCTTCATCTGGTAACGTGCCCCACCTACCCCGGACCGACCAATCATGTTACCCCTTAGCAACAGTGATTGCTCCAAGGGGTGGGCATATGATCACAGAGCCAATCAGAGCTCTTCCCTAGGACTGATCTACTGACACTAGGGAAAGTGTTGTTTCTTAAGGCTGCAGGGTAAGAGCACAGGACTATAAATCAGGAGGCCTGGGTTCTAGTCCCATTTTGATCACTAGGCACATCGTTTAAATTCTCTGAGCCTCCATTTCTTCATCTGAAATTAGGTGCAGGTCATAGAGAGCTTTATTAGCAATCGCTTTGCCACCCCCATTCACTCCCTCACACAAGTATACAACACTTTCTTTTGGCCCCAAAAGAATGCATTTCTACAACTTTGGCTTCATTTTCCAACAAGAGGGGCACTTTAAGTTTTGCTGCAGGAAATGAGAAGAAATACTAGACCAAAGTGGGGCTCCTTGGATGCTGCCACCATCTGTGCAAAACCCTCCCCAAGACCCTTTAGGAGAAGGCTCGTCTAGCTGTCATCTAACTCTTCAAACCTCAATGTGCTCTCTGATGGAAGAACTGCAGTGACACCGTTGGATACTGTGCTGTACCAAATAAACATGCACAGTTGGCAGCTGCCATATAATTTTAGAAACCTGCTGGAACTAGATTAAATTAAGCTGATGATCAGACCAAATAGTCAGGCTTGGCCATTCTCATTCCCTCATCTAATCAAAACTCAGCCAGGTAATTCCAGTTCCTGCATGACAGAAAATTTAAGAGAAAGTATCTAGGCCACTAGTGATCTTAGAATGTAAATCCCCTGAGAGCACAGATTTGTGTTTAGTTTGTCCATCACCACATCTCCAGCATTAGAACCAATAATGTCTATTCGGTGACTGAATAAACGCTGACAGCCCAAGAGTGTCAGTGATTAGCCCAAGTTTGCCCAAGCAGGGTCAGAGTTGAGCCTAGACCTCAGGGACAGAGAAAGAGAAGAGAATCTATACATATAAAACCCTAATATGCAAATAGACCGAATGGTGGAACCACCAAATAACTGGTCATTATGACGTGTGCTGATCACCAGGGGGCACGTGTGAAACATGGCTATGGCAGGATGGTGGAGCAGGTGAGTGGGGGCACCAGACCAAGGCTGGCCGCCGGTCTGTCAATGTCATCAGGGATCCTCTGGTGGTTACTGAAAATTCTTTGCCCCACATGTCACGGTCCTGCCTGGTGCTCACAGCCACTGCCTATGCCGGAGCTACTGCTTGCACCTGCTGCCAACACGGGCCCCACTCACACCCAATCACTCAGCACCATTAGTGGGTGCAAGAGCCGCAGCTGCCGGCCCTGATAGCCCCTGAGAGCTTCTCCACCTCCCCCTGCTCCTAAGGGGCTATCATTGGGGCCTGCAGCCACCTCTTGCACCCACTGCTGGTACAGGCCCCAATTGCTCTGCACTGTCAGCAGGTGCCAGTGGAGCCTGTGCCACCAGCACATGAGAGCATTGGCAGTGGGAGTGGGGCTGCCAGGGCCATGGTGGGAGGGGCCAGGCAGGGGTGCAGAGGATGGGCCAAAACCCGCCCCTGTGCCCACCTCAGCCTCGTGGCCCACAGTTCCTTTCAAGGTGCACAAATTCGTGCACTGAGCCCCCTAGTAAATAATAATTGTTTAGAGGTCTTACTATGTGCCAGATATTATTACCATAAAAATTAGACAGTATTTTACTTAATTCTTTCAACACTGTGTGGTAGGTACCACTATTATCCTTGTTCTATAGATAAAGTTTATCTAACAGGTCACAGAGCAGGGGTATTGATCCACTCATTTGGCAGATAGTTACTGAGCACCTACTATCTCCCAGCACTGTGTCTAGCACTGTGATACAATGGTGAGCAGGATAGACCCGGAGCTTATATTCTGGTGTGGGAGACACTGAGTCAACAGGTAAAACACAAACAACAGAGCCTGGCCCGTGTGGCTCAGTGGTTGAGCATCAAACTATGAACCAAGATTGTAGGCCTGACTCCCAGTGGGAAGGATGCAGGAGGCAGCTGATCAATAATTCCCTCTCATCTCCTTTCTCTCTGAAATCAATATAAACATGATTAAAAACAAGCAAACAAAACGCTTATAATTACCTTATAAGCTGCAGAAACACAGGGGGTGCCTAAGACACATTTGTGGAGATAGAGAGGTTTGTTGAAGGAAAGATATGACTAGAGGATGTCTTATCTGACATTGGAGTTACTAGAGGAGGAGGAGGAGGAGGAGGAGGAGGAGGAGGAGGAGGAGGAGGAGGCAGCCATGTGTTCCTGTTGTTATGGCTGTGTAACAGATTCCCCAAACATATATGGGACTGGCTTAAACTCAAACCAACATCTCTTATGCTCAAAAACCCTTGGGGTCTGGAATCCAGGCAGTTTGTCTGTGGCCTCAGCTATAAGACTCTAAGGCTGGGGCTGGACTCACCTGGAGACCAGTTCGCTCACATGTCTAGTGGTTGATGCTGGCAGTTGGCTGGAGGCCTCAGTTTCTACGTCCGTCATCTTTCTGCTTCGGTAGTTTGGATTTCCTCAAAATATAATGACTGGTCTCCAAAGCGAGAATCCCCCAAAAAACTACATCCTTTTAATGACCGAGAATGTATATTCCTTTGCAATAAAAATGTCTTTTAAAATGCATTAACAGCCGAAGCCAGTTTGGCTCAGTGGTGGAGCGTTGGTCTGCAGACTGAAAGGTCCCAGGTTCGATTCCGGTACATTGGTTGCGGGCACATTCCCGGTAGGGGGTGTGCAAGAGGCACTGGTTGATGTTTCTCTCTCATCGACGTTTCTAGCTCTCTATCTCTCTCCCTTCCTCTCTGTAAAAAAATCAATAAAATATATTTTTTTAAAATATAAAAAATAAAAATAAAAATAAAATGCATTAACAACTTAATATTGTGCACTCGTTAGGGTCCAGGGCCTGTGCAACAAAACATCGCATGGATTAATTCAATTTATCCTTACAACCCTATGCAGTAGAAATTTTTATAAACCCCATTTTATAGATAAAGCACAGAGGTTAATTAAGTGCACAATGGTCACACAGCTACCAAGGGTGCAGGGTTCGGATTTAAACCAGGCAGCCCCTGTCTGTAACCTATACAGGCCGCCAAGTAGCTTTCAGACCTGCACCCTGCCCAGCTCCCACATCCCTCCTGGCTAGATGGTCTGCAGAAAAGGGTCCCCAGGCTAAGGTCTCCGCGCTCTGGAGCCTCAGTCACTCGTTCACTACGTAGTCCAAGAGGGTCTCTCCGTTTTTGTTAAATGCATGAGAAGTGCAACGCCGGGAAGCTCCTCCCGAGGTTTATCTAACCTCTGACCATTGGACACCGCCTACATAGCAGCCCTGGAGCGCGGCGCCTGAACCCGCGGCCACTAGGGGTCGCCGCGGCGTCCCCGGGCGGGAGGGCGGAGCGGCGCAGATCGCCGGGAGCATGTGGACGCTCGGACCCCGCTGGGCTGCCGGCCTCGTGTCCCGCTCGGCGCTCCGGGGCTCGGCCCGGACCCGAGCTGGGACACTGCGGCCGGCGAGGAGCATCGCACTGGGCGGCCGCCGACCCCTGCGCGGCGGGACCGCCGCGGCCTGCGCGCCCCGCCAGGCGGTGAGTACCCGCTCGGCCGCCGCCCGGGCCGCGCGCCGGCGCACAGACGCGCACGCCGGCGACGCTCTGCGCACGCGCGCCGCCCGCCCGGCTCCCGCGGAAACGGCGGCGCGGGCGGCGGGCTGAGCGGGGCCGGGGCTGGGGCCGTGCAGACCGAGCGGCGCCGGCATCACCGACCAGCGTGGCCTGTGCTGTGGTCACAGCTGCTCTGACGGCTCCTGCAGAGCCAGCCTTTTTAAACAAGGCGCCTGCGCTCCGCACCCCCTGGTCCTCCTCCTCGGCTCACCTCTCAGCCCGTGCCCTCTGCCTCCTTTCTAGCCAAGGGCATGGTGGCTCTCGAGCCATAATTGGCAGCCTCTGACCCCTTCTCTTAGTGGAAACCAGGGTGACCTTTGGAGAATGCAGATGTGATCACCAACCCCTTGTAGCCCTTCCTTGTCTTCTCCCAAACCCCCTTCCCAGGATGAAGTCCAGTGGAGGGTCTCCCTGTGCCCTCTGCACTTGGGCTGCACCCCTCTTCTCTCCCTTCACAGGTGCCTGCCCTCATGCCCACCTGCCCTCCTGCCCTGGGGTAGATCCTCTGCCAGGGCCCCCTCTCTAGCTCTCTGTTCACTAGCACCCCACCCACTCCCGTTATTTGGAGTGGGTGGGGTGCTAGCCAAGCCGGTCAGTAGGGTTGGACGTAATTGCTGGATGCTCAGCAGTTATCGTAGCGAAAGAAATTCAGCAGGTCCCATTGTCCCCTGCAGATCATTTGATTAATCAGATCTTGTTGTAGTGTAACCCCCATTACAAAGGACGCCTCAAAAAAGTTGAATTACGGTCATTTATTAAAGGCCGGCTGCATAGGAGGGGCTAAAGTTCCAAATCTCGCAGCTCCAAATATGTCCATATTGTTATATTTATAAGGATTTCTGTTGCGTTATATAGAAACACCCACTCACCCACCCCCCTCCGAACAGCTTTCTTCGTCTGGCAAAATAGCACAAAAGTATTGATTACATCTTTGAGTCTGGAATGAGGAACCTGTTTTGAGATTTTACAGAAGTGAAACTGAGCAAGCTAGTTATCTAAAGTATCTACGAATCACTGAATCAATAGAAACACATTATCTGGGATGGACCACCAGGGCAATTTAGAATAGATTCTGGGATCCCTGAGTCAACAGGAATGCACTAATCTATAACTGCTGAGGCAGTTTAGGATCATTGAACTGTCTTGGGTCCCAGAGGAATGTGCTTCCATGACCAGTGAGATCACAATCAATGGGACATTCCAACCATCATCAGTGGAGTGTTGGGATAGCATACATAACTTGAGAAAATCAAAATAACTTTCTATTGCGTTAGCAAACAAATAAGTACAGAACCCAGACAGCAGTTTCTACCTGAGATGATTGCTACCCTACTTCCATCTGTCTGCAGTCAGAACCTCTTCTGGGCGGCACCGACTTCTGCCTCGTACTGTTCCTTGTTGCTTGTTTTATTCAAGGGCTGGGAGTGTCCCCTGTGCTGATAGCCCAGCTGGAGCAGCGCTGCCCAGTGGAACTTCCTGTGATGATGGACCACAGCCACATGAGACCACAGGACACTCAAAATTCGGCCCATGCAACGAAGGGACTGACTGTTTACATTTTATTTTGTTGCAATAAAATTACATTTAAATGCTGCGTGTGGCTCATGGCTACCGTACTGGATAGCACAGGCTCAGGGAATCATTGTAATGCATTAAAAGAAAGTGAAAAGTCCTGAGAAATATCCCTGGAAAACTCTAACATGGTTACAATCCAAGGTAGAAGTGGTGATATTTAAACTTTCACGAATGGGCTGTAATATACTGAGAAATGGTAATGTTCTTCTTGACTTTGGCTTTAGGGTTTGAGCCTCTACTGCCTCAACCAGATTCTCAGTGTCAAAAAGCAGAATGTCTGTTTGATGAACTTGAGGACAACAGGAAGTTTGGGCAACCCAGGGTAAGATAAATATACTGTCCTCATCAGATCTCTCTCTCTGTGTCTCTGTCTCTTTTCTCCTCTTTCTCTCTTTCTCTCTCTCCCCCAACACACACACCAACATATATACTACACGTACACACACTTCTATTAACTTTTTCTCCCTTTTCTCTTACCTAGACCATCCCATACGGAACCCGTTTTCTCCCTCAGCAGCATCACCCACATACATCTCTCCACTTCACTGTCTGCCGTGTTATTTTTCATGAAGTATTACGTGTTATGAGTGTACCATAATTCATTGACCCCCATCCCCTAATGATGGACATTTAGGTTGTTTCCAGAGTCTTGTTATTATTCTCTTTGATGTCTTAGTAGTTAGGGTAGTACTTCACTATGCTCTGCGTGGCCAAGGCCAGGCTGCCCTGTCCAGCTCTATTCCACAGAAGGGACAAAAGAGCATGGAAGGAAGCCCTGGAAGTGGCACCTGACCCTCACTCACCTTTTAGTGGGAAGGACTTGGTCCCATGGCCTCACCTAGCTGCAGGGAAGGCTGGGAAATACGGTCTTGTGGGAGCCCCGGAGGAAGGCGGCGATGGGCTCTGATGGAAAGCTGCCAGGCACTGCTCCAGTCTACCCTCTGCCGCTGATCCCTGCACAGACCTCCTTCCACCCTCCACACACACTGCCTTCAGCCCCAAGGCTGCCACCGCAGCCCATGTGGTCTCTCATCTACCACAAAGGTCAGCATGTCCGGGTGCTGTACAGGCCTCTCTCTCAGGTCTAGGCATGTCATCTCTGACTTACACACACACACACACACACACACACACACACACAGCAGGGCAAGATAACAACTCCCACAACTCCCACTCAGAAATGCGACGTGTCCCTGGCCTGTGGTAGCGACGGAGTCCCCCAAGGCAACACTGGGACACCTGACAGAGGGGGATGTTCCTCCCTGAAACCCCAGCTCTGCCCCCAGGAGCACCCCTGGCCACAGGGGAGCCAGTCAGCGGGGGGCGTGTCCTGCTTGGGGTCAGGCAGCCTTTGCTGCCCACTTCCTGCTGGTAGCACTTGGGCTTTCAAAGGCCCTCATGTCTTTAAGGCTCCAGCAGGCTCTTGTAGGCCAGACTCAGTTTTCTCTGACAACAGCATTTTTTTTCCCTCAAGAACCTAGTAGGCTCCTGATCTCTTTACCCTGAGTCAGTCCTATAGCCAGTAGCCACAACCAAATTTCTCCCGTGGGTGGAAGCCCCAGGCTGCCTTACGTTTTGCATCCTCATCCCATGCTCAGCTCACTCCGTCTGTTTTTGCACCAGGACTGGATCCTCTTTTTGTCTTAATGAGAGGCCTTTGTCGTTCAGGGCCCACATTCTCCTTTGGCTTTTCCGCCTGTGGGCAGCCTTTAGTCCCCCAGGGCTTAGTTTCATCCCACTGACCTGCCGCTGTGCCAGTGGTCTCCTGCTTCACCTTTTCCATGTCGCACCAACTAGCAGCAAGGAGCCTCCCGTACACAGGAACATTCTAACCATCCCACAACTACAGCAGTTGGCCTCCCAGGCAGCAGGTTCACAGGACCTGGAGAGTGCCCGGCCCGCTGTATCCGTGTCCATTGGCCCCTCCACATAGCTCCGAGCCAGTGCTGCGAGCTGCCTACGTTAGGTGTTTGCTTTGTTGGCACCATTTCCAGCTTCTCCCCGCACAGAGTCTCTGCCGCTGTCCCCTTGTCCCTGCAGGTGGTCTCTGAGGCTTGGTGGGGCCCTCACAGGATGCCTCAAGTACATTTTCCCTCTTCAGGGTCTACTTCTGGCTTCTGGGAAGCGCACCTCTATACTACAGGCATCTCTCTCAGGTCTGGAAGTTTGTACCTCTTCATTCCCTTCACCAAAGCTCATACAAGAAGTTCTGCTGTGAGTAGGAGGACAGCCCACTCCTGCTATGGCCCAGCTGGCTGCTGTCAGGTAGCACCTGCCAAGCTCTTGCCTTTGAACTTGACACCTGAGTCAGCTGTGCCTTTATGTTCCCACACTCCTCAGGACGTATGTCCACCTCTGCTCCAGGTTCTCTCCAACACACCCAGCCACGCCCGCCACTTTCTAAAGAAGAGCCCCTTACCATCTCCTCATCAGTCCTGTGACCTTCCCCACCTCTTACCCCTGAGGCGGGAGTGGGGGGATGGGGGGTGGGCATATGGCAGCTCTTTCTGTCTTGCATGAATTACCTCACAGCCACTGGGGTCTTACCTTAGGCCTCCTGGAAACTCAGAGGATGGCGTTATCTGGGACACACCTTGTAGCCTGCACATATTTCCTCATAGAGGCACCAAAGCTCATATAGGAAGTTTTATCAGAACAGTGTTTTTATTGTTATAATTCACATACCATGAAATATGCCATTTTAAAAAACGTACCGTTTTGTGGCTTTGAGAATATTCACAGGTTGTGCAACTTTCACCATGAACTCCAGAACATTTTTGTCATTCCACAAAGAAACAGCCTGCCCATGAACACACTCTCCCCGTTCCTCCCTTCTCCAAGCCCCTGAGAATCACTCATCTGCTTTCTGTCTCTGTGGATTTACAGTGGTTTCTTAAAATTGAAAAATAAGTCTCCAAGTTACAAGTGTACAGCTTGATAAATTTTTAAAAAATGGACATAGCATGTAACTCAAAAATAGCTCATGAAGTAGAACGTTACCAGCCCCTAAAAACACGCCTCCTGCTCATTTCTAGTTTTTAACCCCTCCCTGCCCCAGAGTAACTGCCATTCTCATTTCCAATAGCCTGGATTAATTTTGCCTGGTTGTTTATATGAACTGTATCATTAAATATAAATATGTTTGTGTGTGGCTTCTTTCAGTCACCATTATGTTTGTGAGATTTGTCCATATTGATATATTTATAGGCATTTCTATTTTGCTATATAGTATTCTATTGCATGAATATACCACAGTTTATCTGTATTATCTATGGGTGGGCAGTATGCAGTCTGGGGCTATGGGGACTTCTGCTATGAACATCCTAATATAGTGCATATCTTTTGGTGAACCTAGGTATGTATTTCTTTTTTTATTATTAAAGTATAGTATAGCCCTGGCCAGTTTGACTGAAGGGTCCTGGGTTCAATTCCAGTCAGGGGAACATGCCCAAGCTGCAGGCTCGATCCCCTGTAGGGGGTGAGTAGAAGACAGCCAACCGATGATTCTCTCTCATCATTGATGTTTCTATATCTCTCTCCCTCTCTCTGTATTAACATAATAAAAATATATTTTAAAAAGTATTGTATAGTACAGTACAGTATAGTACAATAAAGTATAATATACAATATTATATTAATCTCAGGTTTTACAACATAGTGATTCAACATTTACATACCTTAGGAAATGATCACCTCAATAATCCAATAACCATGTGTCACCCTACAAAGTTATTATGATGTTATTAACTGCATTCCCTGTGCTGTACATTACGTCCCCGTAACTTATTTATTTTATAACTGGAAATTTGTACCTCTTCATTCCCTTCAGTTATTCTGCCCCTCCCCCACACCCGCCACTTTGGCAACCATCACTTTGTTCTTAAATCTCTGAGTCTGTTTCTGCTTGGTATGCATTGCTGTTGGGTATATACCTGAGTGTGGAACGAATGGCATTTGTCTGTATTCACTTTAGTAGATTCTGCCCCCTAGTTTTCCAAACTGATTGTCCCGTTTATATGCAGTAAATGAAAGCTCTGCTTGCTTCACTTCCTGGCCAACTCTTGACATTACCTGTCTCTTTCATTTTAACCATTCTGGAGGTATCTCATAGCAATTTTTAAAATTTTTCCTTAAGACTAACCAAGTTTTACACTTGTTCATATGTTCATTGGCCATTGGAGGTCTTTGTATTGAATGAAATCTGTTCAAGTATTTTATCCATTTTTCTATTGGGTTTTCTTTTTCTTACTGATTGGTAAGTGTTCTTTATACATTCCAGATATAAGTCCTTTTTCAGATGTGTGTAATGCATATATTTTATCCCATTTTGTGGTTTGCTGGGCATAAATTTTAATTTTAAAAGCAATGGAAACTTCATCGTCCTGCTGAAGGGGATAGGTTGAGTAAATAATCTATAATAATAAAATTGTAAAATGCTAATTAGACCAGATGTCCTTCTGGACAACTTTCCGGACAAAGCCAGGGCTGCGAGGGAAGCCCAGGTCCTGGGTGCCAACAGCTGGGGGAAGGAAAGTCTACTCTTGCACAAATTTCATGCATCGAGCCTATAGGATAAAATAAAACATTGTGAAAGTCCATATGTGCTCCTATGGGGCAATTTCCAAGACGTATTAATGAAAATTATAATGTGCTTCATTTGCATATGGAAAAGAATGTAACATTTTTAGAAGGATACAAAGAGGCTGTCATCATAGTTGACTCTGGGGATGAGACTGCCCATTTGGGAAGAATTTTCTGTTAGACCTTCATACTATTTTATTTATTTTATTTTAGTTTATTATAGTTTACTTTAGTTTATTATTGTTGATCTCACCCAATGATGTTTTTTTCCATTGACTTTTAGAGGGAGTGGAAGGGAACGAGGGAAGGGAAAAGAGAAAGAGAGAGAGAGAAACATCGATGCGAGAGAAACGTATTTATTGGTTGCCCCAACTGGGACGGGGTATTGAAGCTGCAACCCAGATACGTGCCCTTGACGAGAAATCGAACCTGAGACCTTTCAGTGTGTGGGCCGACATTCTTAACTATTAAGCAGCTCTGGCCAGGGCTGTTTAAATTTTCACTCTGTACATGTTAGCTATTTTCCATCGATTTTATAAACCTAAATGAAAAGTAAGTGTGGTGATATGATGTTAGTAAAACGGAGCGGTTTGGTGATGGTGTGTGGTTGTGGTTTTTGTTTCCCTGCAGCTCCTTGGATGAGTCCACCTATGAGCGGCTGGCCGAGGAGACCCTGGACGCCTTGGCAGAGTTTTTTGAAGACCTTGCAGACAAACCTTACACGTGCGAAGACTATGACGTCTCCTTTGGGGTACCTCTCCACTTATTTTCATTTTCCTGTTCCCTCCCGAAAAACCGTAGCTCACTAAAATAAAGGATGCCCCTTCAGCAGAGGGAAGCATCCAACAGCACGTGGTGAAGGGTGAGACCAAAAGGCTAGGGTTCGCGTGCCAGCCCTGCTCCACAGGCTTGTGACCTTGGGTGTGTCGCTCATCTTCTCTGACCCTCATTTTTGCTGAAAAATACAGATTCTGAAACTTCATTGGAGACCCATAAAGGTAAATTGGAAAGGGACCCAGCATGTGCTTGTCTCTTCAGGCAGGTGTGTGGAACACTGAACGAGACCACTAGTCTTAAGCAGGGTAAGATAGTGCTGAGAAATATTCCGACTCCACTGACAGGGGCCCCACTCGTGGGAGATTCTGATACAGTACGTCAGGGTGCATTCATAGGAAGCATTTATTCTCAAAACTCAACTGACATTCTAAAGTTCATCCTTGGGTCCCACCCCTAAGAGTTTTTTTGTTTAATTTTTTTAATGTATTTTTATTGATTTCAGATAGGAAGGGAGAGGGAGAGATAGAAACATTAATGATGAGAGAGAATCATTGATCAGCTGCCTCCTGCATGCCTGCTACTAGGGATCGAGCCCACAACTGGGCATGTGCCCTTGATGGGAATCGAACCCAGGACACTTCAGTTTGCAGGTCAATACTCTAACCACTGAGCCAAACCAGCTAGGGCCCTAGGAGTTTTTATTTAACAAATATGGGGTGCAGCCCAGACAAGGCATTGTGGTTTTGTTTTGTTTTGTTTTTTAAATTTTTAAAAATATATATTTTATTGAATTTTTACAGAGAGGAAGAGAGAGGGATAGAGAGTTAGAAACATCGATGAGAGAGAAACATCGATCAGCTGCCTCTTGCACACCCCCCACTGGGGATGTGCCCGCAACCAGGGTACATGCTCTTGACTGGAATCGAACCCGGGACCTTTCAGTCCGCAGGCCGACGCTCCATCCACTGAGCCAAACCAGTTTTGGCAAGGCATTGTGGTTTTAAAGTTTTTAAAATATGTTCCCCAGTTGACTGTAATACACAGCTCAGGCCAGAACTTCTGGACTGAATGAAACTTGAGCCCCAGATCCTGGAAGCCAAGGGAGTGCTGGTCTAAACGGACTGGCCACCAGGTGGCAGACCTTAGCAGTTGTCATCCTTCGGATTTAGAATTGCTGTATTGCTTAGGCCTTTGGGAGCAGTTCTTTTTTGCCACCGGGAGAAAATCCCCTGCAGAGGTTAATCCTCTTGACAACACTTAATTAATATCGGGAAATGTCATGAAGTGTGCATGTTGGATTAAACCATGGAATTATTTAGGACACCCAGCTGTCAGGCTAACGTGATAGAAATACTGTTGGATGAGACTGTGGGAGCTCTGGACCGAGAAGGGACTCCCTCAGAGGGAGCAAGCAGCCTGGCCGGTGTGGCTTCGTTGGTTGAACATCATCCCATGCACCAGCAGAAGCAGGCAGCAAAGTCTGGTTGTAAGGACAGCAGGGACTTGGTAAAGAATAGAGACAATGGGCAGAAACCGGTTTGGCTCAGTGGAAGAGGGTCGGTCTGCGGACTGAAAGGTCCCGGGTTCGATTCCGGTCAGGGGCATGTACATTGGTTGCGGGCACATCCCCGGTGGGGGGTGTGCAAGAGACAGCTGGTCGATGTTTCTCTCTCTTCGACGTTTCTAGCTCTCTATCCCTCTCTCTTCCTCTCTGTAAAAAATCAATAAAATATATTAAAAAAAAAAAAAAAAAAAGAATAGAGACAATGGGCAAGACAGGAATGAATGCCTCCCAGGCAGTTTTAACGGTTACTGTAGCAGGGCATATGCGAGCACGACGCAGTATCCAGGCTGGGTTTTAGAAGTGCCCCTGCAGATAGCCTCAGGGGGAGGGTTCGATCTAGGGAACTTACAGGCCCCCTTTGCCTAGCTGCCAAGCGCTGTATGTAGCTAAAGGAAAATCAAGTCTCAGGCTAAACCCTGCCACACATGCCAGCATTTATTAACAGGTCACAAGAACAGTTACACTGCCTGTTCTTACAGGATTGCTGAGGCCCCACCTTGACCCAAATACTTTGCATAAAGGTTTTATTAGAAGCAGCTGTGCCAGAATTCCAGCAGCTGGGTCTTGCTGACCTCACTGAGTCCAGCAACAGAAGCTTCTGCTCAGTGGTGGCTCACAGGATGTCACGGAGTCCTCTCTCAGTGTCTCCCTGACCAATGACTCAGCTGCTGGGCTTTCCAGATCCTGTAGCTCATTCCTGCAAGGGAAGAGGCACATGTCTATCTGTCTGTTTTTTTCAGCCAGTCCATATACCTTGAGTACCATTCAACTCACCAGCATAAAATTATTCCTAGCAAACTATTTGCTGAAGACATATAGTTTAGACTTCTGATTAAATACTCTGAAATGTTAACTATCCTGAGGTGTGATTCCTGATTAGAATCCTTCAAGTGCTAACTTACATATTTCACATGTAAGATATGTCAGTGTAAGAAGCATTCAAACCTTTCGAGAAATTTTGTGAGTTTTTGAGCCAAATTGACAATAATGGCCGGGAAGCAAAACCTCAACAGGTTGAGAAAATGCTCTGGAAAAATGACAGTTCTGCACCCTGCTTTATAGATTACAATCAAAAGAGGACAGAGAGGACGTAAATGGGTTACATGAAATCCATTAGTGATAGATTAGGGAGGCAGGAGAAGGCAACGTGGGGGGGGGGGGGGGGAACGTCTGGAATTGGGTAAAAAGTAGAACGATAACCCTGGCCGGTTTGGCTCTGTGGTTAAACCAGAGCCTTATAGGCCTGATGTCTGAAGGGTTTCAGGTTTGATTCTGGTCAACTCGATCCCCAGCCCAGTCCAAGCATGTGCAGTAAGCAACCAGTCGATGTCAATCAATCTCTCTCTCTCTCTCTCTCTCTCTCTCTCTCTCTCTCTCTCTCTCTCTCTCTCTCTTTTTCTCCTTCTCTCCCTCTCCCTCTCCTCCTCCTCTCCCCCTTCCACTCTCTCTAAAAAGACAATCAATGGAAAAAGTCTCTTCAGGTGAGGATTAACATCAAATAGACACAGACTTCTTTTACACGAATGGGGATGGGCACAGGGTAGTTAACAGTCAATAATTAACTCGATGACAATGCGGCTTTGTGACCTCTGCTCTGGTGTAGTATCTGCTCTGTGAGGGGGTCCAGGAAAAGGAAATCACTTAGACATTCCACAAGTATGTTATTGTGGATGCAAAAGGACAACAGGCTTGACTGAGGTAAAGATTGACTTTTGTCAGGGAAGATTCCAGCCTAGAACATGACTGCCTGCTGTAAACTGCCTTCAGTTGGGACGTTTTCATTTCAGACCATCCTTTGTGGCTGCTCCAGGTCTCTGGGTTGTAAGGCCTCCCCTGAGCTTGTCAGGTGGAGTGTAGACAGCAGAACACCTCCAACCCTGCTCCTTGGGCTTTCTTGGAATGCCGTCTCTCCTGCCTGCGGGGCTCTGGGGAGAAGAAGTTTTACACTCCTGGTTTCTGCCAGCTGCTCTAATAAATCTACAATAGACAGGCCAACAAGGGGAAATAACCAAATTTAATTACATAGGGACACAGGGGAACCCCATATATACACGAGAGTCGGAAACCCCATATACATGAGAGGTCTGTCTGGCATCCCGAGCTGAGAATGAGGTACGGCACCACGGGGCTTCCGAGGGGAGGAAGGTCACTGCCGAACAATAAGGAGCAATGTTTTGTTATTAGAAGTTTGCCCTGTCATGGCAAACTTCTAATCACAAATATGCCGTAAAAAGATATTCCTGGTAATATGCCATAAAAAGATATTCCTGATAATAACTTTTTTATTATGATCACGGCCCCAAGTATAAATAAACCCCTTCAGGGAGAGGTACACGTTTCTCTTGGGGCCGCAGAGTGGCACATGTTGGGGAGGCCTGTTCTGAATCGCTCCAGGGTCCCGTTGGGTGGGAAGCCCTCTCGCTGCTCCAGGCAGGCGGGTCCTCCCTCGCCCAGCACCCTGAGGGTGACTGTGGAGCACCATCACCCTGGGTTCTAATTGTCTGTCTGCACATCAGCTCCCACGATGGGCCTGACTTCCTGGAAGAGGGACACTGTCCATTCTTGGTACCCCAACGCCTGGAGGAACATTGCCAAGTGATAATGTTGACTCACTGCTTAAACGAAATGGCCACGTTCCTCTCCAAAACACACTTTCATTGATGCTGCTCAGCATTTATAGATATTTTGCCAACTTGCTGCTGGCCGAGAGAGAGAGAGAGAGAGAGAGAGAGAGAGAGAGAGAGAGAGAGAGAGAGAGAGAGAGAATATTTGCTTGTTGCCATGTTCCTTCCTGCACTAAGTTGCTGACCTATTCCTGCCAGAGAGCATGGGTTTCTTAACCTTTGGGGGCCAGAACCTGTAAGAATCTTTCTGCTCTAGACCCTTTCCTGAGAACAGATTCTCCACACACCCATCTGCACAGCTCCAGCTTCAGGGTGAAACTGTGTGTAGAGATCCCTTGAAAACCACCTCTGGGTCTCAGGTTGTGGGCACTTGCTTCCTAGTCATTATTCTGAGTCCTCCATGGGAAGTCAGTGTCTGTTGTAGGAGTGTGGGAAGCCACAAATACTAGAAATCCCCTAACTTCATGTGCTGCCCCATATGGGTCTGTTTCCATAAGTCAGTTGGTGACAACAGAAATGGCTATTTGCTTCCACTTGTGTAGAGCTGCTGTCGACGGGCAGGAAGGAATGAGCCTCGCCAGCTGTGGCCGGGGTCTGTTCTGATTCACTGGTGCCTGTATTTCAGCAGCTGCTACTCCGGTAGTAAAATGTCTCTAACTCTCTCTCTCACACATGCCGCCGCCTTTAAATCTGTCCACATTCCCAAAATAGACGCAGAGGGCTACCTAAGGAATAGCGATAAGAACAAAGCGGGCCTCTTCGTCTGGCCTCTTACAGACAGTTCCAAACACAGTCCCAGCTCCTGGAGAGCCAGGAAGGCAGCTCGTTTCCTTCCTGCTCTCTCACTTTCCTTCCGGAACAGCTTCGAGCTCCAAAGAGGAGGGAAATCTAATGACACACATTGAGCAGGAAGGAGGTGAGGGGAGTGCGTGTTGAGACTTTCTGCCTTGCATAACGTGGCCCTTAACTTGGACCCAAGTTATCCCAGTATCTGGTTATCCATGCCTCTGCTCCCTCATTCATCCATTCATTCATTCATCCACAAATGTATTTTGTATCCATCCAGTATTTTGCATCAAGAATCGGTGTGCTAGACACTGAAGATGCTAAGATGAACAGACAGATCTGCTCACAAGATGCTTCAAGTAGCAGAGGGTAGGGGGCAGGTTCACATTCACATCCACATCATTTATTTTCCCAATGACCCTATAATTTCTCTGCTTCTTTTTAATCAGGGGGGAAAAAAGGTTATTAAAAAATAACCCAATAGCATCCTCCCACCCAGGCCCATCAGTTAGGTTATTCCCGGTACTTTCTCCATCCTTTCCATAGTTCTCTGTGTGTGTGAACCAAACACACAGTCTGAGAACCATTCAGGATCCCTGGTTTGGACAGGCTCTGGGAGGCCCAGGGAAAGGACGCTGTGGATCTCTGCGGGTTGTGCAGGGATGGGGAGCAGCCAGAGGCGCCGCAGCCCCCCAGCTCCAGGCAAGGGAGCTGGCGGTGTAGCTGTTTCTTTACTATCTCGGGACTTCTAAAGAGACCTCAGGCCTTGGGACTGAAGGGCTCTTTGTTGAAAGAGTGTTTTCAAATTTAAATGAGCATTTATTGAGCAAAGTTGGACCAACTGGTCTTCTGAAGAACTCGGGGCTGTTGTAGAGGAAAATAAAGCTGGGGAGGCGCCTCTGAGAGGCTGAAGAGATGCCTGGGAAGGGTCTGAAATAAAAGCTCTGGTCTGGAGTGTCTGCCTTCTCCCAGCCGCGTCGGGGCCAAGACGAGCAAAGCGGGTGGCTCAGTTCCTTCCTTCTTTCTTGCCTGGTTTCCTTTTTTTTTTTTTGAATGAGCCTCTCCTGTCTCAGGTTTGGGCCACCGTGGTACTCCAAGAGCTGGTGTCTGAGGCTTTTAACGTCCTTTAGCATGTTCCGCTGGCGGTCAAGCAAACGAGGCAGAGATGGGCATGCGGATCTTCTGTGCTGCAGCTGTAATCCCGCCGACAGGCCACTCAGCCCTGTGTGCCTCTGTTTCCTCCTCTCTGAGCAGAGGTTCTCAACCTTTCCAATGACGTGTCTCTTTAATGCAGTTCCTCATGTTGTGGTGACCCCCAAGCATAACATTATTTTCGTTGCTACTTCATAACGGTAATCTTGCTACTGTCATGAACTGTAATGTAAATAATCTGTGTTTTCCGATGGTCTTAGGCAACCCTGCTAGTGGTTCTCAACCTGTGTGTTTTATGGTTGGGGTCACCACAGCATGAGGAACTGTATTGAAGGGTCACGGCATTAGAAAGGTTGAGAACCACTGCTCTAGAGGGAAAGGAGGATTCCTTTCGCCTTGCTGAGCTCACGGGGAAGGAGGGAAGGCACTGTGAGGCCGAAGTGTTATGAGTCATCTGGTCTGATTCTGGGAGCAGTTTTCTTTCTGCATGACCTTCTTCCTACTTCTAAGCACCAAAGACATTTCTTTAGGATGGATATCGCGTCCTTATATGAATGCAAAATGTTAAGATATAAAAAAACACAAAGCAATTAGGATGAAGTGATAACTTTTTCCTTTTTTCCCCTTACGATTTTGTCCACCCTAGAGTGGTGTTTTAACAATCAAACTGGGTGGAGATTTAGGGACCTACGTGATCAACAAGCAGACCCCGAACAAGCAAATCTGGTTGTCTTCGCCATCCAGGTATGTTCCCACGTCAGAGGCTCTCGCTGTTCGGCTTGTTGGAAACGTGATGTTGGGGACCGGTGAGGAGGGTGCCCCCCCCCTCCTGCTTCAGAGTCTGTGGAAGCGAACCTCTCCTGAGGTCTGACAGCACGCCTCCCTCTCAGGAGGAAGGCTTTCTCTGGTTATGTGACTTCTGTCTGCTGTGAGTGGATATTGGGTTGTGAACGAGATCTGAAGCGACACATTTATCACGTGTCAGGACCCGGCCTGGACAGTTTTTCTCTATTAAACCATTGCCCTGCTTTAAAAAAAAAAGAAAAAAAGAAAAAAGAAAAAAAAAAGAAAAGCCACGTTTGATATTGCAGCATCTGAACACGCTGTACTTTGTCTTCAAAGCAAGTTAAAGTTTGACCTCTGGCTTGTTTTGAGCATCTCAGTTAAAGGTTAGCTGACTCCCATTTGCAGAGCAGAGCTGTGTGCTCTGCGGGGGCGGGAGAGTTCCAGGCATCGCATTCCTGCTGCCTTCTCCACGGATGTGCTTTCGGTCTAGTGGGCTAAACGGCAGTGCTGAGACGGCCTGTGCTGCATCCCAGAGCCTGAGAACATGCAGGGAGAGCGGGCCCCTCCTCCGGCTGCCGTTGAGGTGTTTATCAGAAAGTCAAAGAGAAACGTCCTCTGAAAGCCCGTAGGCCAGCCTTTGTGGGTCATTCATTAACGCTTCCGAAGAGAACATACTGACTGAATTGGGAAAGGCTCGGGTATACCTAGACATAGAATATTTGAAAGTCTGATGGCGTTTGCATTTTTTTTTTTTATTTAACTTGTTGCCGAAACCGGTTTGGCTCAGTGGACAGAGCGTCGGCCTGCGGACTGAAAGGTCCCAGGTTCAATTCCGGTCAAGGGAATGTACATTGGTTGCAGGCATATCCCCAGTAGGGGGTGTGCAGGAGGCAGCTGGTCGATGTTTCTCTCTCATCGACGTTTCTAGCTCTCTATCCCTCTCCTTTCCTTTCTGTGGAAAATCAATAATATATATATATTTTTTAAATTTAACTTGTTACCTGCCCCAACCTTGATCTCAGTCTTAGGCAGTTAATATACTATCGGTTTAATAAATCATTATGCCGCCCTCATCCCAACCACATCTAGGGAGGACGTTATAATTCAATAAAAACGACTCCAGAAGTCACTGTCATTTCTGGTAATGCCCGAAATCACCAAATGGATTGCTTTTTTAGCCTCTGCTCATTTGAAGTTGAGGGGTTTCACCCTGTGTGGGCCAGTTAGCCTGTTCTCTTTGGCCTCAAACAGTGGTCTCAGCCCTAACCGCGGCCACGCATGTGGGCTGTCCATTCTTATCCTTCATCTTCAGAGAAACCAGCATGAGAAACAGGGTGGATCCGCTTAAGTCCAGCCATCAGCTCTGGGGATCTGGGGCTTTGTAGACACTGGGCAGGGCACCAGAAGCCACGGTGATGGCTCCACTGAAAGAATTCTTTGTTGTGTCTGGAAACTGGAAAGTCCATATCGTACTGGGACACACATACCAGCAAGGTGGTCCTACCCCCGCCATGTTTAGAAGCATATACTTCTAGATAATAAATTCCTGGAAATTCCAAGTTGTGCTATTTTTTTAAAATCTGTAATTCATGATAGAAATCTGGAGAGAACATCTGCCAAGCAGACATTTTCTTTCTTCTTTCTTTCTCTCTCTCTCTCTCTCTCCCTCTCTCTCTCTCTCTTTTTATTTTTATTTTTTATAAATATACTGTTGGTGATTTTAGAGAGGGAGGGAGGTAAAGGAGAAAGAGAGAGAGACAAACATCAGTGGACTGCCTCCTATGTACACCCCCTATTGGGGATTAAGCTCACAATCCAGGCATGTGCCTCAACTGGGAATCGAACTGTGACCTCCTAGTCCACAGGTCGATGCTCAACCACTGGGCCACACTGAGTAACTATTGGGCTGAGTAACTATTCTTAAATAGAAAGACCCTGAGACAAGAAGTCAAATATATGCCTCATTAAACATTACTTTCTAGAGCTCCACTCCAGTCAGTGTTTTGGTGGCAACCTCTGTGGAATCAGTGTTTCTGCTAAAGCGCTGTCCTCGGCATGAGCTGTGTGTGTGTGTTTTGTCTCGCAGTGGCCCCAAGCGCTACGACTGGACTGGGAAAAACTGGGTGTACTCCCACGACGGCGTGTCCCTCCACGAGCTGCTGGCCGCGGAGATGACGAAAGCCTTCAAAACCGAACTGGACTTGTCTTCTCTGGCCTATTCTGGAAAGGACCCTTGATGCCCAGCCCCGTTGGAAAGACAGTGGAAGTTCCAAAGCCAAGACCCAGCTTCCTTCTGCAGCCGAAAGTCTAGTTTGTTCTGGTCCTGCTTTTGAGGGCAGTTGCATTGTGGGTAACAGCTCTGGGAAAAGAATAGGTCGCCTCTCACCCTACCTCTGACTTTGGATGATTAACTTCCATAGCTTTTTTTGGACTTACTGTCTGATTCCCTCCCTCACATGATAGCCTGCATCTTTACAATGCCTCTATACCCATGCCTATACATTTAACCTTGCAACAAAGAAAAATAATAATAAGGAAAAATTCTGAGAGGAGAAATGAATTGGCTTCACCATTTGTTCTTTGAAGGACTTGGTGAAAAACTGCACGAAGAGTGGCTGGCTGAACTCACCATTGTCTCAACACGAGACTCATTAAAGAGGGCCTCTAAGTGTTCCCACGCCTCTTGAAAACATAGACCCTTAAACATAGCGGGCTGTTACTATTGAAGTGTCCGTGGCAACTCGGGAATTCTCAAACCGAAGACCATTCTCTCTTTGTGCTTTGTGTCTGCTGGGGTGTATGTAGCCTGCAAGGGGTGTCTCGGAGATACGGTGCTGTTTTCCCCCCCATATATACACATAAGGGCGTCCCAAAAAATATATACACACTTTGAATAATTATTGATCCCAGTGGGTTAAATCTGAAAAGAAAGAAGCATCAACTGAGGCTATCAGCTGTTAAAGTGTGTACACATTTTTTGGGTCACCCTGTATATGCACATACACACATTTAATTATGTTTGAGTGTATGTATTTTTTAATTTTTTTTTTTTAATTTTAGGGTCAGTATAGAATCAGCTGCTGCAGCACAGGCCTGCGAATGCAAAAAAAAAAAGTCTTCTAAAGTCAAGAGAGGGAAAAGGCACCTCCAGAAGCTCATAGATGTTGAATAAGTGAGGGAAAGGAGCCGAGGAGGCTCTTTGTAAATGGAGGGCCCCCCAAAGGAGAAGTGTTTGTGTTCATGCAAAGAAACCTGGCTTATCCTTGGCTCAACCCAAAGTGCTGTTTGTCTCTGGGAAAGATCCACGTACTGGCTGGACCTCTGTTTTCTTGCGTGTTAGGTAAGACAGTTGGGTTAGATAGAGGAATGGTGGGTTCCCAGTTCATTTAGCCAGTATTCTGGTCAGTAAACTTCACAGGCTAGCTCAATGACCTCTGCTAGGTGAGGGGATGACAGGAACCATATTTTTTAAGCTTTAGAATAAAATATATGATTATTAGAATTACTTGAATGTCCACTGAATTCATGTTCAAGTAATAACCTTTATTGTGCCCTTACTGTGCTAATATGCTATAGACTGAATGTTTTTGTTCCCCTAAAATTCATATGTTGAATCCTAGTCCCCAAAGTGATGGTATGAGGAGGTGGGGTCTTTTGGAGGTGATTATGTCTTACGGGGTGAGCCCTCATGAATGCAGTCAGTCCCCTTATCAGAGAAGCCTCAGAGAGCGCCCTCCCCTTTCTACCATCGGAGGACACAGCAGCCTGTGAACCAGACACTGAGTCTGCTGGGACCTTGACCTCAAACTTCCCAACCTCGATAACTGTGAGAAATAAATTACGTTGCTTGTAAATATCCAGTTTATAGTGTTTTGTCATAGCAGCTTGAATGGACTAAGACAGCCTGCAACACCACATGACCTCATTTTGATACTTTCCGGAACATTAAAACTCATCTAAAGTTATCTCCATTATTTTCTTACTACAGAAAGATTTATTAATAAAACAATGTAAACAGCCCTAGCCAGTTTGGCTCAGTGGATAGAGCATCAGCCTGCAGACAGAGAGGTCCAGGGTTCGATTCTGGTGAAGGGCATGTGCCCATGTTCTGGGTTCGATCCCCAGTAGGGGGTGTGCAGGAGGCAGCAGATCGATGATTCTCATCATTGTTTCTATCCCTCTCCCTTCCTCTCTGAAATCAATACAAATATATTAAATACATTAAATAAATAAAGCACTGTAAACAAATGTTCAGTGGGTATTAAAATACTTCTTTTTTTCAGAAGGAACATTATTGTTTAGTTTGGTGGAAATTGTGAGTGTGGTAGGTTAGAATCAATGAGAATATAAAATCATTTGTGGCCTGGCTGGTGTAGCTCAGTGATGGGGTGTTGACCCATGAACCAAGAGGTCACCAGTCTGATTCCAGGTGAGGGCACACATCTGGTTTGGGCAGGATCCCCAATAAGGTGTAGAGGAGGTAGCCGATAGATGTTTCTGTATCTATCCCTCTCCCTTCTTCTATCTCTCAAATCAATTAAAAAAACTTATTTTAATGGAAGTTTCATTGTACCTCACTTGGAACTCAGTTAAAAGGCGCATTCATCTATCTGGATACAACATAAAACTTAAGAGGTATTAATTAATCAGGTGCCCTGACATGAAAAGGGAAGTTAGGGAATTGGTGCTCTTGATGCTGTCCTTATGGGCCAGCCTTTCAGGCCTAGTTACTGTTACTTCACACACAATTCTAACTGGTTTGATGATCTGGTTTGTAAGGCCCTGGGAGAGTCCCATGAGGTCAGTGAAAGGGCTGCAAGCACAAGAACGGCCACCAGGGGGCAAATAAAATCCTGCTCTGACAAGCAAAGGAAAAGCAGGCAATGGGGCGCCAGTAGCTTCCCTCCTGCCCCCTTAGGCCCTAGACCACCATAGTTACTGTGCCAACCATGCAAAGAATGAGTTTTCAGGAAAATGTTGAAAGAATTCAGTATAACAAAAAAGGCAAGAATATATAATTTTATTTTTTTAAATATGTTTTTACTGATTTCAGAGAGAAAGGGAGGTGGGGGGAAAGAGAGAAACATCAATGAGAATCATTGATTGGCTGTCTCCTGCATGCCCCACACAGGATTGAGCCTGCAACCTGGGCAGGTGCCCTGACCAGGAATCAACCCTTGACCTCCTGGTTCATAGGTCGATGTTTAATCATTGAACCACACCACCTGGCATGTGTAATATAATTTTAGAAAGCTTTCAGTTTCATTTAGCTTCCTGAGTGGATACTCCTTTAACCACTGGAAAATAAAACTATCTAGAATGATTTATAAATTTCTCTGAAGATACAGAGAACTGGGGTGTAGAAAAGAGAACCTGAGATTTTTGAATTTTTTTAATCAGAATTTAAAAAAATTAATCCAAACTCTCACTTGCTTATTAACACTAGCCTCAGTTTCCTTACTTGTACAATGGAGCTGTCTAATTTGCAGTGCCTGGGCCCATATGCAAAACACTTGGTACATGAAAAATATTGTTATATGTGCATCTTAATTTCATATTCAAATGTGGATTTTTCCCATGAAGTATTATTTATGACATCCTCTTCTCACCTCAATTTAATCAAAATGCTCATTTTGAGACCTTGGGGATGGGTTCTGTTTCCATAGAACAATCTCTGATGCTCCCTACAATGCTGATTGGCACTCCCTCTTCTGCATAGCTTCTAGAAACAATCTGGCCAAATTTAAGTTTGACCATTTGTATTCAATAGCAGGCTTACAATAACTTTCTCAAGCTATACCTGCTCCCAAATCCTAATAACCCCATTACCACCTTTAAAGCAAGACCATGTTTATAAATGTGACATTTGTGCAGATGGTTTACACAAGGGTTGCCAAGGAATGCTAGTTCCCCACCCTCAAGGTATGCACTAAGATTAAAGTTTTAGGTTGAATTCTTGGCATGGATTTATCTTTTGCAAATGAAAACACCTACATACCAGACGGGAAGGAGAGGCCTAGGTATGACATTTCATGTAAATTTACCCTGCTGTTCAAAACTATGACTTTGCCAAAACCAGTTTGGCTCAGTGGATAGAGCGTCAGCCTGCGGACTGAAAGGTCCAAGGTTTGATTCCGGTCAAGGGCATGTACAATGGTTGCAGGCACAACCCCAGTAGGGGGTGTGCAAGAGGCAGGTGGTCGATGTTTCTCTCTCATCAGTGTTTCTAGCTCTCTGTCCCTCTCCCTTCCTCTGTAAAAAAACAATAATATATATATATTTTTAAAACTATGACTTTATGATAGCCTTACTTTGTATAGCTATGTTAGAGTAAGCATTGCCTTAAAATGCTTTTTTTTTTTTTTACTTCATTAGCCATGACATTCTAAGGATCCCAATTAATGGTCCCTTTGGAATATGTAAACCTGAGATCACTTATATCCTTATGTCTGCTGCAGAAATAGAGTCTAACTAAGCTCACCTAGTCCATCTTCTCTGGATGCATTATTTAAGAAAGAATGTACTTCACCTCCTGACAAAGTGGTTAGAGAGGGAATGTACTTCAACTTAATGACAAATGCACAGCAAACATCATATCCAACAGTGAAACACTGAGATCCTTTCTCTAAGACCAGGAACAAGACAATGATGCTCACTTTTGCCACTTTTATTCAACATAGTATTAGGAGTCCTGGCCAGAGGAACTAGGCAAGAAAAAGAAAAAAAATGTATCCAAATCGGAAAGGAAGACATAAAACTCACTGTACAAATGACATGAGATTATATACAGAAAACCCTAAATACTCTACTTAAAACTGATAGAACTTATAAATGAATTCATTAAAGCTGCAGGACATAAAATCAATATTCAAAACTCTGTTGTATTTCTATACACTGAACTATCCAAAAGACCAATTAAGAAAACAATCCCATCTACAATAGCATCCAAAAGAATAAAATACTCAGGAATAACTTTAACCAAGGAAGCAAAAGACCTGTACACTGAGAACTATGAGACATTGATGAAAGAAATTGAAGATACAGATAAGTGGAAAGCTATTCTGTGCCCATGAATTGGAAGAATTAATATTGTTAAAATGTTCATGCTACCCCAAAGTGATCTACAGATTTATCATAATCCCTATCAAAATTGCAATGGCATTTTTCACAGAAAGAGAAGCAATCCTAAAATGTGTATAGAACCACAAAAGACCCCAAGTAGCAAAGCAATCTCGAGAAAGAAAAACAAAGCTGGAGGACTCACACTTTCTGATTTTAAACTATACCACAAAGCTATGCCAAAACATGATGGTGTTGGCATAAAATAGACATATAGATTAATGGAACAGAATTGAGAGCCCAGAAATAAAACCACACCTATACGATCAATTAATTTATAACAAAGAGCCAAAGTGGGTGTAGAGGGAATGTAACTCAACATAACAAAGGCCATGGATGACAAACACTCAGTGATTATACAATAGGAAAAATCGTCTTTTAATAAATGGGCCTAAAAAATCTGGACAGCCACATGGAAAAAAAATGAAACTGGGCTCCTATCTTAGCCCTGATCTGGGCCCCGGCCAGGGAGGAGCCTGCAACCTACGTACATGCCCTTGATCAGAATTGAATCCAGACCCTGCTGTCGGCAGGCCGAGGCATTATCCACTGAGTCAGACCAGCTAGGGCAGGATGTGACATTTCTTAGCCCTCCAGCAGCAGACCTTTTTCTCCAGAAGTGAGGTGGAAAAACCCTAGATCACCTTTTTGGATTCTTATTACCCAAGTTCCTAAGAATATTACCAGTGGCATACAGGAAGCTTAGCCAATGTGCAGTCAGAAAAGGTGTTTCCTCTATAGTTCACACCAACCGCGGGCTGGGCTCTGCCCAGGCTTAAAGCCTCTGGCCATAGCTTTAGGCCTGGGCAGGGGCCCTCCAGCTCTCTTTGATCACTGGATCCACCCCTGCCCAGGCCTGCCCAGGCCTGCGATCAATCACAGGGGGTTCGATCCTGCCCCCTGCGATCATCACTAGGGGTCTGCTCCTGCTTTATACATACATATATATAAATATATATATATATATATATATATATATATATATATATATATAGTTTGGGAATGTGGAAGAGAAACAAACTTTCCTCTATCCTGAAGGTTCTCTGACTGGTTTAATAATCAAATAAACATGAGACAGATTAGCAAAAGAAAATAAACATTCAATGCATACAGGGTGCACAAGAGTAGGTTTACAGTTGTGATACAAGCACATAATACAACAATTAATAAATAACAAAACAATAAACTGTGTTTTGAACCTACGTTTGCCCACCTCTCTGTGTATGGGAACCCCACATGCCTAAGAGAGTCAGGGAGCCCACAGGGAGGGAGGCTCAGAGGCAGAAAGGAGGTGGTGGTATATAAGATCCTGAGCTAAGGAGGAGGCAAAGCACCCGGAGTCTTCAAAGGGTCACAGCCGGGAGTTAAGGACAGATGTTTAGTAAACAGAAGTTTGCCCTCCTCTATTGATTGGTCAAAGGCATTATCTGTGAGAATAGCTGATTGCCCCATTAGTTCTTCTAGGTAGTTAAAGGAGAGGCAGAAGTTTCTCTTAAGCCTGAAGCTAAAGTTGCCTTTTAGCCCAAACAATCTGCCTATCACCGAGGCACACCTTGGGGTGGCTTGTTCTGTATGCTATCCCACTAGCAACCCCCAAATCCCACCCTGATTTCCGGAATTCCTAGAATTGGCCTAAGGCTCCAATTCCAGACCCTCATGGGCCCCTCAAAGCACCTCCCAGCTGTCATCAAGAATGCTCTCCCCATCTGACCTCATTTTTTCTCTCTCCCCTTTT